AGATCATATGCAAACAGGTAACACTATGTGGACTAAGCAAGTTGTATTAATGTTTTTGGAAGAATAAATAGATGATAGAATGGTAGATAGATGATATAAATAATGAAAGGGAAAGAGGCCATGAATTTGAGAGTTAGCAAGCAGATATACAAAAGTGATGGAGGGAGAAAAGGGAAAGAGAAATTATTGGTGTAATGATATCATTTTGAAAAAAATAGAAAAATGTGTATGTCCACGTGTATGTGTTAAGCATGTTTGTGGAGGCCAGAGATAAGCATCAAGTGCTCCCACAGTTATGTTCCACCTTATTTAAGTTTTTATTTTACATGTATGTATGTATGAGTACCTACATATGTTTGTATAACATGTTCATGCCTGGAAACTGCAGAGAGATTCTTTGAACAGTGGATGGCAATGCAGAAATACCAGCTTATCCACATGCAGAGAATGCATGTCAGCAATGCTCCTGGCAGTGGATGAGTCTGTATGGCCATCACAAGTTGGACTCGGGTTTTTTAAATTAATTTTTATTTAAATTAAAAATAAGTTTATTTTACATACCAATCCCAGTTCCCTTTCCTTCTCATATCCCCCACTACCTCCCCATGGGGCATCATCAAAGTCTGTCACATCATTTGGGGCAGGACCTAGGCCCTACCCAGTATATCTAGACTGAGAGTGTATCCCTCCATAGGAAATGGGCTCCCAAAACCAATTTGTGCACCAGGGATAAATACTGGTTCCACTGCCAGAGGCCTCCATAGACTTTGCAAGCCCTGTGTGACACCCACATTCAGGGGGCCTGGTTCGGTGTCATGTGGGTTCCCCAGCTGTCAGTCTGGAGTCTGTGAGCTCCCACGTGTTCAGGTCAATTATTTCTGTGGGTTTCCCCAGCATGGTCCCCTTTGCTCATCACATCCCTCTCTACAACTGGAGTCCAGGAGAGTAAATTGGGAGCATGGGAGTGGGGGGGGAGGTAGGAGAAAGAGGAGGCAGGAGGAGAACATGAGGGATCAGGAAGGTCAAGTTGGGGGAAGAACAGAGGAGAGCAAGAAAAGAGTTATCTTGATAGAGGGAGCCATTATGGGCTTAATGAAAAACCTGGTCCTAGGGAAATTTCCAGGATTACACAAGGATGATCCCAACTAAGAATCTAAGCAACAGTGGAGAGGCTGCCTTAAATGCCCTTCCCTTTTAATGAGATTGATGACTACCTTAAATCTCATCATAGAGCCTTCATCCAGTAGCTGATGGAAACTGAAGCAGAGATTCTCAGTTGGTTTTTAAAAATAAAGGGATAAGAGAAACGGGAAGTAGAACTGAGGAGAGTTAGAGGGAGTAGTAGTAGTAGTAGGTAAATATAACCAAAACTGATTGTATGATTTTTCTCAAACAACTAACAAATTATTACAGATTTACCCCTCCCTTATCTTTTCCTGGGATTTTATTACTTTCATTTTTAAAAATCATTTTATGTGATTATTCTACTTCACGGTGATCAGTTTATGGTGTGAAATCTTCCTTATGTTGTCTGAGTTTGTGCTTTTCCTTCAGCATGCCCAGCAACGTTCTAAATTCCAGTGAATATGCTCACACCTCTAAATGTATTAGACTTTAAATGACTGCCTTCTAAAAATGGGAAGGATGGACAACAAGGAGGGAGTCATGCAAAAATAAGAAGCATTGTTTTTTAAAACTGAAAAGAGACTAGTGAGGGAGGACAGAAAGACAGGGAATGATGGTAATGGGGAGAAAAGAATAGGAGAGTGTGGTGGCTCCGCTCCAGAACCAGAACTTCTATTTTGTTGAGTAAACGAGAACTTGAGATGACACTGATCAAGCAAAAATTGCCCATGGGGATAATATGAGTTTCCATGTGATATCATAACAAGAACAGTACATAAACTGCTCTTACTTAGGACTGAAATGTTGTATAACTGAGTTTTTAGCACTCCCCTCTCATTCCTATATCCACACTGTATATCCCTCAATAAACCCACCTTCTGTCTTTCATTGAAGAAATGATTTAACTAAATTATTATTTATTTATGCATATTAATGTTTTGTCCCTGTGTATATAAGTACACTGAATGCACTCAGTACACAAGAAGGCCAGAAAAGGTTATGAAGTCCTATGGAACTGGAGTTAAAGAATGGATTGGGGGGATTTCTTAGCGATCTTTAGTAATATAAAGTCAAAGTCACTAAAACACACGCGCGTGCGCGCGCACACACACACACACACACACACACACACACACACACCACAGTCAAAACAAAACCAAAAAAACCTAATTGCCCCCTCTCCCTTAAGAAGCGCACACCCATCCTATTTGATATGAGTTTACTCTCACACTACATTCTTTTCTGGCTAGTTTTATTGAGTCAAACTTTGCTTCATACTGACTTGCTCTGAAATTGATTTAATCATCAAACCTTAAAATCCCATTTTTGTCTGGAGATCTCTGAACAGAGCTTCTCAAACATCTACTGATATGGTATGATGCTGTTTACTCAGAGAAATTGGTGTACAGGAGAAGAAATAATGACCAATTACATCTTGGTAAACACATGTAAGACTACATGGATCAGAAATCAAAATAAACACCGATATCTGATATGCAGAGCTCTTACATCATGCTTGGATTTATACAAGGTGTGGACCTTCTCTGGAGACTGTATAACCTAGAGCTTTGAAGGGTGAAGTCAGAAGTCAGTAGTTGCTACTTTGTTGCAAACACTGCTATTTACCTAGTAAACTTTTCCTAGATGTTAGAAGTAACACTCCAAGGATCCAGCCACCTTTCATCATATATAATCTAAAGCATGTTTGTTGTCTGTGGTGTAGCAGCATCTAGACTTGCCAGTGTATTTGTGTTAGTGGCCACACCACTTTGGGGCACTCCCATCACTGAAAATAATAGCTTCTGTACAAGAAAACCATTTAAGAGATGTATAGCCTACAAAATATAAAAACTACTGAAATCTTTAGAAGTACAGCTCCTAAAATTTTCACTCAGAGTTCAAAGAAAGGGACTACAAATAAGTGAGGGAACTAAAAGCTGAGGGAAAAAGGAATTGACTCACAAATTGCTCCTGTGCATGTTCTTTTGTTATTTTTCTTTATTTCTCTCTTGCTGTTTCTTTGTTTCTGGCTATCTCTCCATTTCTTTGTGTCTCCAATTCTGTTTCTTTTTCTCTCTAACTCTCTTTTCTGTTTCTTTGTCTCTCTGTATCTCCCCAGTTCTTGGGGATACAGGTATATACACATTGCAACAATAATTATTTTTACAATAGCATGTCAGGCTTGAATTTCTCAGCCTCAGCAAGGCAGATAACATTTACATGCAGAGCTAAACTAAAACTGGTAGGAGAAACTTTTTGCATCAATTACTCAGGGCTGTAGATCAGAAGAGGGTCTAAGTTTAATTTGTACAAGAAACAAAACCTGGCACCTTCTAGTTTCTGGCCTCAGTGGCAGCACAGGCCTTCAGGAAAGTTTACTTTTACCTGAGGATAAGCAAATGGGCTGATTACCTATGTCTTTATCTTCTCAGGAGAAGCAGGAGTGAGCAGTAAATCTCTGAGCTAGAATCTTGATTTAATACAACAAGAAGTTTGAGAACCTTTTAGTGCAGGGTTAGTTTAGGTTATCGCTTCTCTATCTGCCAGTGAGATAAAGCTAAGAATATGCTTATTTTTTCTATCAATCTAGACAGCTATGAATCAACAACTTCAGATGTGTAGTAATTTTACATCCTTGGATATTTGGAAATGTCTTAGGTGGGATGCTTTTAATTGGGCCCTAAACACTGACCAGATGCCTGCCAGTGAAGGTAATTGCAGGAAGAAGATCTCTAATTACAATGGAGAAGGGAACAAGGACCTGATAGTGGAAAGCAGGCCTCACACATAGCTAAGGAATACAATCAGCAAACTAGGACCTTTTAATGGAGAACAGATTTTGCACATAGCTAGGGAGTGTAATCAGTAAAACTCAAAATGCATGTGAGAAATTTGTTCCCAGTATATGACTAGATGGTGCTAAACTGTGGGAAGTAAATCTCAAGTTTGTTATAGAAAGGAATAAGCTATAGGAAGAATCTACAGCAAGACATAGCCATGAGATTATAACACCACGTACAGATTTGTACTGGTTTCATCCATCACAATAATCCTTAATTCTTCTAAGTTATATTGTGATGCAAAGGCTGTATAAGTACTGTGTGATCTTGTGGCAAAAATGTCTGTTAAGCCCATTTGAGTCATAACATCTGTTAGATCCCACTATGTGGGACCTGGGGTTTGAGACCAGAGGAAGCAACTGTGATGTCTCCCTGACACCAGAGTTTCACACAAAGAGAGGCACAATTCGTGAAATCCCAATGAACTGTGTACTAAATGCACAATACTTATAAAAATGGGGAAAGGTGGTATTTCATAAGTAATTTTCACAGACATAATAACCAGAGAAAGAAGATAATAATACTAGTGCCAAAAAAATCCACTCATTATTTCTTGGAAAATTGTATCAAAGCTTTAACCATTATTATATTGCCATGAATGATTAATCTTTGGAAATTCCCTAAAATATGCTCATTATCGTATGAACACAAGTATGTCTTATTTAGTTGTCAAACACTATTATGTTTATGAACATGGCTCATGAGGAGAAAAGGAAACAAATGTGTTTCATTATATTTTTTACGACAGAAGTAGTTAGCAATTTAATATATTTAAATCAATTTTAACAGATAATCAAAAATGAAAAGATAATATCAAGATTAATGTTGCTTTATGTTTTATTAAGTATGCTAAATAACTTAACTAAAGAATAAGGCATTCAAATACACACATGATATATCACACAAAATTTATGTGCATGGTTTTACATGTGTCAACTCACTTTATGATGTGATAATTTCATCAATGTACTGAAAATGTATGATAGAATAACAACTAAATGTTGATCAGAAACAAATAATCTGTATGTTAACCAAATGATTAGTATTTTCTATTCCTTGCACATTGGAAACAGAGTGAGAATACACAGGAGTCGTAGCTCATCAGCAGAAAGGGACTCAGAGTTGGGAAACACCCAGAGACAATTGCAGCAACATTTACAATGAGCTGTGTGGGATGATAAACAAGAGCGAAATGGATATGCAAGATGCAAGAAACTGTGTAAAAGCACACAAAGGTACTCACCAGGAGCAAAATGGTTTTTGTGGCTCTGGACTCAGGGGAGGACCTGAGGGAGAAGTTGCTTCTATGGATGTGCTTTATTCTCTGTTTGTGTCTGTAGAGGATGCAAACCATGAAGCTGCTGGAACACAGCATCATTCCCACACAAAACACATCAGGACTCGAGACTAATATTGCATAGAGGATGTCGCTGACTTTGTCGTGACGGACAGCATAACAGTATTCAAACTCTTTTAGATGTGTGATGTTTACATTGCTGAATTTTCCATTCATGTGCACAGGATAAGCAATGTTGGCAAGAAGAGACAGGATCCAGGCTAGACATATGGAAGAGCCAATGTACCTTGGAGCTTGGAATTTATACTTTGCCCATGTGGAGCCCATGGGACTTATGGCAATGGCCTGGAAGACACTCAGAAAGCATGTGCTGCTGATGGATACTGCCCTCCCCACCCTGTGAACATAGAAAACTAGTTTGCACCCAATATCCTGGAGGAAGTCTTTCATACCAAAAGCTGCCATTGTCTGGGGCACTCCTTTACACAGTAAACTTAAGAAGTTTGCTGTAGTTAAGTGCTGCAGGATATAGTCTGTGGGTTTTAACCTGTACCCCCTGAAGAGAAACAACAGATAATGATGGAGAAGGTAGGAATTGCCCAGAATTCCAATGACTGTCTGTGCTAAGAAGATCACTCCAATAGCCACATCTGTGGTTGCCATACTGCTGGGTCTTGTGGTCTGAGCTCAAGGATCCTGCACAGGAAGACGAGGTATGGGTTTCATGTATCAAGTCAACTCAACATCCTCCATCCCCAGTTGATCATTTTTGAATATTTCCTTTACCTTTGTTTTACTAGGAAACTTCTGAGAGATCATCCACTAGTGTAGGATGCCTTTATAACTTACAAGTTCCCACTGCAGGGCAGCACATAACCATAACAACCTGTTCATCCTCTCTGCTTCTGGTGTAGAAGGCAGGCACAACTCTAATTATATTTGACAATTTAGAACTCTAGAAAATGCTAATATTGGGTGATGTGGAATGATGGAACATGTAGGTAAAAGGATACAGGAGTCATGAAAGAGTATAGAAAAGTAAATTTTTTAGATTAAGTTTCATTGTGGTTCATATGTGAGTGTGCTCATGGGTGCCTGCATGTGCGTGCATGTGTGTGCGTGCTTGCTTGTATGTGTGTTTGAGTGTTGAGCTGTGAATGTTAATTCAACTCTGTAAACTGAAGTAGCAAGAAACATGTTGTTGTTGTTCTTTAAAAGGAATCTATAATGAATTGTTCATTTGAGGGAGTAATGGTGAAAGTTGGACTGAAGTAGAATAAGGTAAAAGACCAGTTATTGGATATTTATTGATTGATTTACTTAAAACACTCCTTGTATTGTCTATCTGCCAAGAATGACTTCACTTGACACCTGAAACAGAATGACTTGGAAAAATAGCCAGAACAACATGTCATTGCCCTTAACAACCCACTGATTGCCATGTAGGCTTTTGTAAAAATCTTGATTGCTTGCTTGCCCCACCTTGTGGTTTGATATCATGAACTAGACCTGAGACTGAGGCCTTGCAGGAATTATTCTGGCTTTGTTCCACTGGTGACATCTGGTCTCTTCCACCCTCTTTGGTGTCAAGGTGATTATTCCAGAACAATTCCCACAGAAAAACTTTCTTTTAAATACATTGATCATTAATGTTATAGGACTCAGACAAGTGTAGTCACTGAATACATTTTTTGTACTAACTCACTTAGAAAAATTGTTATTTAAAACATCGTTCAGATGGGACAGGTTTTGTAACAGAAAGTTATCTCTTTTTCCTTGCTTTGAAAACTATCAAATCATCTTATAATAGTATTATTATTTTATAGTAATAAATGCTGTATATAAAATATTATTCAAAGAAATAAGGAAGTGTGGTAACTATCTGGGTTAAGCCTTTGAGAACTCATGCTTGATAAAGGGTAAATGGAGACTTGAAAGTATCTGAGGATGGACAGGGAACACAGTGAGCCAACATCCTCCCTATAAAGAGGTACATGGGTTCCTCAAGCATCCACCCTGTGTTTTGTTTTCACATGTGCATGATCTTATAACAAGCATCGTTTTACATATTTGGTAGCGAGAAGTATACTTGTGTAGTGATATTTATTACATAATGTAATAACCATTATCACTGACCATCCAGGTATTTTAATTCAATCAGGAAGATGCACTAGTTCTGAAATCTGGCCCATGGAAGACACTGAGCATCTCTATACAGATGGCTCCAACCTGGGACCTAATAATTTATTTGTTCTAGTTTATATACTGAATAGCACTTGATAGAATGATTTGATAGTCGTTTTAAAGAATGAATCTAGTTTGCACATGAATACCCAGAAATCTATGACAAGAATCTGTCAGTCATCACATGCTGTGTCATAACTTAAGTAAAAAGAAGCCACGCATAGTCATAGACTGTGAGATATGAGCAACATTATTGTTAATATAATGATATGCTGTACTTATTGATATCTGACTTAGTGAGACCATTTTCAATGAAGCAAGACAGGTGAATACCATCACCCACAAGGGTCATCATACTCACAGACATGTGTTTGCTGAGAGTTTGTTCATAAGTTGAAAATATATGATTTCCATGATGTAAAGTAGATATGGTTTGGAACAGGGTTGGACTGCCAGTCTTCTTGTGAAGTTCATAAAGAGATCTCCAGATGGCTGTACACACTCATGCCAGCCTCCTCTACCATACCACCACTAGATGAGTATATTTCCTACAATAAGTATGATGCTTTTAAAAAACTAGAAACAAGATGGTCCACATTGTAGTGCTGCTGTAAAAAAAAAAAAAAAGCATGTAATATCCATGCTAACTTCTTTCTTAAATATTTCTTTTCGATCATAATGAAAGTTGATGATGTCAGGGTGGAGACAACTTCTGTCTCCATTGCCTTCATCATGTGTCAAAAGTTAGAGAAAACTGTCTACTCAAGCAGTTTCCCTTTGCATGCATTTCTGTCCACAACTACGAGTTTCCTCTACACACTTTCCACCTTTTACACAACACACGGGGAAACCATAGCATCAAACTAGGGATCTCGGAATTCAGGGACAGATTCCTGTAGTAGAAGCTGAAGAAGCAAACAATCTATGCACCTAAGTATGTTGGAAATACCATTTCATTTATATTTTGATGAAGCAACACCCACCATTGTGACTGTCAATGTCTTTGAGTCAAGGGAAGCAAGTATTAAGCATGAGTCTAAGATCACATCATCATCATCATTATTATTGCCTTGAACTCAATTGCCAGGTCCTTCTCTGTTTCCTGTGATGCTGTGCCATCCAAACAGATTCAATCTACAGATTTTTTTTTTCTTATAAGATCACTTACCCAGATGCCCAGTTTTCCCATCCACACTTGAACCTCGAATGACAACTGGAAAAACTGCTCATTCTTGTTGTCTCTGCCATTGTCTCTCTGACTAGGAGAGATCTGTAGAAAAGTATACAGTACCTGAGATATGGAGCTGTGATTCTTTGACCATGCCTCCCCTCAGACCTGAAATTATCATTGTATTTTTAGTAGTAATGGGTACACAGGTCTGGACAAGAATGTTTCTCAGAGTCAACTTTTTTCCCAGGTGATAGTTAAAAAAAAAAAAAAAAACAATTACAAGTTTCTTGCTAGATTGTCTTAAGAGACTATTGCAAATTGTAAAGAAGCTCTCATTTATTCATGATCCTTGGAGGCAGGCTTATGTGTGTCCAGGGAAAGTGAATCCTGAAGTCTTTCTGGGATACATCAGTGAGCTGCACACTTGCCATTCAATTTCTTCCTTAACTTGGGGGTTGCATACACAAAATCTATGGGTTTTTTTTTATTTCTCATCTCAGTAAGCACTTCATTATTTTTATTTTAAGGGAAAGTGAATAATGAAGCACACACAGCTCAAAGAAAAAGAACAGAATTCTAACAATTGGAAATACCTTTCAGTAACCTTCACCAAAATGTATACAATTTTAAAAAGCCTTAAAGAATCTGTGAGCTTCATCAATTATATCAAGGCCTGTGGAGGGAAATCAGGACTGTTTGTAGGATGACCTGCGTGTGTGTGTGACACAGACAGGGAAGCATGAGTTCATGGTGGCAGGAATGGAGCAAGATGATAGAGAAAGACACCAAGGGAAGAGAGACAAAAAAGAAGGAAGAAGGTCAAATGGAGAAATATTAAAAATCTAGTAAGAGAGAAACAACATGGCTACTATGATTATAATGGTAGGCAAAATCTTGACTTTGTGAAAGATGTCAGGCCTGTTTTGTGCTGGAAACACAAATTTGACTGGTGTTGTGGGCTCAATGGGATGAAGATTAAGTGTTAAACTTGAAACTATCTACAAATTTCAGAGGTCATTCAGTAGTTCTGTGGTAGCTTGAAGGAGGAAAGGGAAATGGCGAAACTTTAAAAATTAAAGTTGTACTATTTTCAGAGTCACAGAACATGGGTAGGTGAGCTGTGTGTTTCACTAACTAGACCATGGCAACCAAACAAAGCAAGAGTCATATGTTAGGAAAACCTCCTTGAAAGATGGGTCTTCGTAAAATTTTAAGACAATTCTGGAAGATATACAAATTCCACAATAGCAAAGAAACAATCTGAGAGTCATCATAAATGAAAAACAAAATAGGTTAAAATTACATCTATCTAAAGTGGTTATAATATCAGTTTGTTTTCATAGTTTTGGGATTTGATTCACAAAGTTTAAGGTGCCTCAAAGTTATTATTGGATAGTGAGTTGCATGCAGCAGAGTGACCTTGTGGAATGGGCAAAGGTACCACCCTGGTACCAAGCATATAGCAAAAGAGAAAGAAGGGCTTAAAGGAAGGGGCTTGAGAAAAAGAAGGAGCTTAGTCTTCCACTAAGTTCATTTCAAAGGCAATGCAGTAAAATGATATCTAGACAGGTAATGTGGAAGAAATGTGTGTGCGAATATTTGTGTAGAAGAGGGTGGAAAGGCTTTTGTGATTTTAGTATAAGTCAAAGGTTAACAGGCAGAGAAATATTGGAAACCATGAAGAGAAGAACAGGTAGAGCTTGCCACTGAGGTGATGGTTGGGTTGTAAGTTACTATTTGATCCCCTCACACTAATTTACTTCCCTTATGGTCAAGTATAAACAGGATGGAAAGCCTCCAATTTTAGCATAGGAGACAAAAGCATTGTTCCATAAATTGCTACTGAAAACACATATTGAGCACCCTTGAGATAGACTGCCGTGAGTTTGGGTCAGAGCTCTGTGAAACATTTACCTTCCTTCCTGTGGACTGAAACTGGGTGTAGATGGACAGGCCTGGCTGCTGCAGTTTACTTGCATCTTGAGTTTCGTGCACTGGAAGAAGCATCTCTTCCTGTCTTGTGCAGAAAGAAAGGGTAAGAAATGGGGGGTAGAGTGTGGAAGAGCTCGCAGTGTGCATGTTAGAGGCCCCTGCTCATTTTCACGAATTATTAATCCCTTTCCCTATGGTAAATTTGCAATAGTCATATTGTTTGTAATTTTTTTGCATTCTAAATTCTAGCATTCTAGGATAGTGATGTCAGCACCATGGCTTATAGAACCTTTCTATGTAATTCACTGTTTTGTTTTTTGTTTTTTTAAGGGAACATGGGAAATAAGAGTCACTGGGACTCAGTATAGGTTAAGTG